GACGAGTTCAGACGAGTTCTGCAGTGACGTTTCACCGTACTGTACGTATAGAGTACAGGGGCCAAAAAAGATGTTTATGATTATACTTCTGCTACTATATCAAAGCACAACGTGTAGTTGGAATATTCGTAGTACGTATACGCACTGTATGAAATTTGATCTTTAAGCACAACTTAAAGCTTGCGTAAAGGTTCTGTTTCTTCCTTGAAAAATGAATCCTGTACGTATACTTAAATGCATACTGAAAAATCGTGTTTTTTATCCGTAGTGGCGCGCTTTATTTTCAGAATCAAATTCGTTATCTACTTTTCTGCGTTTAGATTGTCAGGTGGTATACGAAATGTGACACACTCTAGCTCCAAATGTTCAAATTTAGAAACCCTAGCTTAGACTTGAAAGCTGCCGTCGATCTTTCCCTTCGGGGCTGCAACAGACACATCTAAGACCTATGTGTCCTATCTTGTCTTCCTTCGATGGTCTCATCGCTCTATTTCTCATGTTACAGATGTACATTTGTACACTTAATCCCGCCTATGTAAGTGTTTGTCAGCGCCTTAAAGACACATCAGACACACCGGCACCTCGTAACACCTTATCTCAGAGTCCCAGTCATTCGTGGAACATTACTCGTTTCAAAGGTGCCAGTTTATTGGTAGTCGGATAAGTTTGGTGTAAATGAATGTGGAGACTTGACTTGATGTACGATAGTAGATTTACGTACTGCCATGCGATTTTACGGCACGAATACATTATATTTTTTTGTTCCGATGCGCTGTGTGTGTATGAAAGGGTAACAAACTACGGGGATCTGGAGATACAAGGACGATGAAAATGTTTTTGCGACTCAGAAAGGTGAGGATGACCCGTGAACGATCGATCACGCTTAGGGATATCACCTCATATTTTTTACCAGGTATTCGTGCTAACAAAAGATGATACTATAAGCATATATTTCCCTACTGTGTCGTACTGTTGCGGAGCGTCCTTGAAAATATAATATCATCATATTTTCGTCCATTCATGCCGATTTTTGATCTGAACACGTTATTAGCCTCTCGGCTTTCTAGCACAGAGTTTTATCGTCGTAAACGCACGAGGCTTTTCCGTCTGCTAATCTGTAGAATTCATCACCTGAACCCCGCACTAAACACGCCGCTATCTCCGGACCATATGGTCGGGGGGCAGCCCGCAATCAGCCGCAAGAGTCACCGGGTAATGAGGAAGAGGGGAAAGGTGCCCTTCAGTTTCCAAACCTCGTCAGACAACGCCTACATAATCCGCCATCGCTCGGACATAACATCTGTGTAATCCGAAATGTAATTACACCTCGGCGCTATTGTAGCTGAACCATCCAACCCGCCCAAGCCTGGCCTGTCAAGGCCAACAGCTATCAAAGTTGTCAGTGAAGACGATATGCGCTATCAAATCTGTTCAACTGTTCTGTAATAATAAAGTTGAGCGGTAAAGGGAAGGAAACACTTGCCGTGAAGAGATTTGGAAGATTTGTTGACCGGCGGGAAAGTGAGTTGGCCTGGTAGGAACATAGGGTCCAAAGTCATTTGGTCAAACTCGTTCACGTATCATGGTTTATTTCACCCAATATCGTTAAAATACACCTGTTCAAGGGACGTCATGATAGCATAGCCTTGTATGCTCGACTGTTTGTAAACGATAGATATAGTGTAGCAGAGCTTTAGTTGCTTTGTTTCATGTGAAACTAAGTTGTACTGCAGATTCAATCATTTAGAAAAGTGTCTGTCGGTCTCTCTCTCTCTGTGTGTGTGTGTGTGTAAGTCTTTCTCAAATGATAAAGTCTTTTCTGATACCTTTCTCTTGTATTGTCTTATTATTAATTGCTTCTTATGTTTACCTTGGAGTTTGCAGAAGGAAGACATACGAGTATTATTTTTGATCTGGTTCTTCTTCCCTCTTCTTCTTCTGTTCCAATGGTACCATGAGGTCTGTCACCCGGTGCTGTAGCAAACATCCTGTGGTGTTGGCCTACACATTATGTAGCAGGACAAAGTTGGAGGGGCTGGTCACCGTGTATATGTGTTTGAGTAAGAATAAACAGAGCAGTAGTTTGTTTGGCTAGACCATGTGAAGGTAAACAGTATGCGTTTGCCTTCCACCTCTCTGGTGGCCAATGGAATTGGTATTTGTCATCGACCAAAAGAAATTCAGTTCAAGTTCAAGGAAGTAAAGGATTTGACTGGTAAGAACGTTTTACTACATGCTGCCAGAAAAAGCTGCAACTTAGATATTACATATGACTCATTTCTATATTACATTACAAGATTGAAGTTGACGTACCGTCAAATTTAGGAAATTCCCAGGTCAGATTGCGGAGGCTAGTGATATTGAAAGGGCGTGTTTGAAGTAAACCGTAGGAATTGTGAGTTGAGCTTTAGAGTGGTCAAAGATATCAGACGGACGAGTTAAAAGAGCGGAGACAATGTTATCAGCGGGGTCCGGTGGCGTAACGGTAGAGTGTTCGGCT